GAATTGTGGTGGCTTATTGAATGAGATGTGGCCTATACAATGACTTGTGGTGGCCTGCCGATGTACAAGGCAGTATTCTTTCAAACGAATTCGGTACCAATTTACTGATCCCGGAGGGTAGAAGGCTCACCTGGTCTGGACGGGAAGCCGTTCTAGGATTTGATCCCCGGACCTTACGCGTGGTAAGTGCCTCTTATCACACACTACTTCGCAAAAAACAAGCGTTAGAATATGAGAAAAATCTTACACACCTCTGTGTTTTCCTGTTATTAGCGTCAGCATTTCCTCGGCTGCCTTTCTCAGCATTTTCAAAAAACCTTTGAGGTACAAATTTGTAAACGAGCATTTGTAAAGTGGAATCATGTCGATATCCGTTCTGAAAACAAAAACAGCATAACGTCGACAAATCAATTACTTTTTGAGGCATATTCATGTTGAAACGGAATATTATGAAGTGAATACAATAGTAACTTAAATACTACTACAATAACTCACCTTGTCGACATTTTTCTTGCAGCCCTTTGTTGGACAAGTACCTGATACCGACAAACTTTTCAGTAGACATTCTTCGCAGACTGAAACGAATCAAAGGATAAAACAAGACTGGGTCTACGCTCTCCCATAGAACCTTTTCGCCTGCTTATGTCAATACCTTGTCGACAGGATATCAGTTAATCCTGCTTAACAACTAATGGGGACTGATTAACTCCGTAAGGACCATAAGCTGACCAGAGAACAAGGCACTAATGGGGAAATTGTTCGTAATACGGACTTCTGCCCTCGAAGAGGAACTCCTAAGGACAGTGTGCCTTGCCAGAAAAAAAATATGGTCTTGCTCCAGTACCCCCTTATGTAACATCATGTTCCAAAGCGGGTGAAATGCAATATGAGAGCAGTTTGAACAGTCACAAACATGTTCTGCAAAGTCGGATAAAAAGCCTCGGAAAAACCATAATAGAAGATGAAGCCATGCCGTTGATCAAACCCTTCTCAGGATGCGCCACGCATTCCCACTTCCATTCAGAATCGTAGTGGCTTATTGAATGCGATGTGGCCTATACAATGACTTGCGGGGCCAAGCCGATGTACAAGTCAGTGTTCTTGTCCTCCCAAAACGAATCCGGCACCAATTTACCGTCCCCAGAGGGTGGACGGTGCTCTTGGCCCGGGAGGGACCGTTCCAGGATGCGATAATCGAAACGCGCGCGTGGTAAGCATGCCACTTTCCACTATACTACCCCGAAAAACTATATTCAACAAAATTTCAAGGAGAATAAAATTGCTTACGAACCAAAGGCATAAGTGAAAATCACTCACAGCTGTGCATACATCCAGCCACAGTGACAGCGTTGACGAGGAAATCATTACATAAACCGCATTTGAGGTTCGGCGACGCGCTCATCGTCCTCTAAATTTAAGATCAAATCAGTGTAAATAAGACAAATTGAATTAAAAATCGTATATCCCTTTATTATGGGTCATTACTATCTCCTACAAAAAAAAATTAAAATACTCCAAGCCAAACGCATCAATCTCCCTTCACACGTTTGGGCTGATAAGGAGCATCACTGAAAGCTGATATGGAGCTGTTCCAATTATTTAGAGGTCAGAATTTCTACGAAAACCATGGTGCCCTGGAAAAATAGCGCTCTACACAGCAGAATGAGATCAAAACTCATCGCTACTACGTCGAAACAGAACCCTGACTTGTGATTCCTCAGTACTATGCGTACTTCATTGAGAGAAAAGCCTTTCTGACTAACATCTATGACATTTATGGAAGTTTTAGCGAAAGTAATGCCGTTGAAGAGTCTTCCGATATAACCAGTCAAGACCTAATGCCATCCAAAGATTGAAAAGGGAATTCTACCTTGGGTTTTTGGACTATTGGGTACAGCAGAATTAGTGATTTTTTCTTTACAGCTTCTAGCCAATATAATCAGCACAAGCCATCAGTTACCGTTCAGTACATTTCTTCCCGGCTACAAGAAAATTATACCAGCCCATAGCCAAAAAAAACTCAGACAACGACTTTCCCCATAGATAGATCCGGATTCTGTGTCACTTCCAATTTTGTTTTAGATTTCTTCGCACAAAGAATCTACAACAGAGGAAAGACATCCGTTTTTTTCACTTACGTAGACATAAAAAACAATGGAGTGAAAACCATTCACCCTATTTCCAATACTCAATCATATTTATGAGTGGGAAAAAATGTATCGGTCCTAACACGAATGCCTTAACAAGAACGAGTCTCACGCCAACATCTGAGTGGGCTACAAATAGCTTACGCTATATAAGCCATTGTAATTTTGAAGTTTTTGTAGACCGTCGCTCTCATTTCTTTAGTATATCACCGTTTTTCCAGATCAATAAATGAATGGGTCCCACCAAGAGTCCCCTGATGTGGACGTGTTCACACTTGGTCATTTAAAAGAGCTCGGAATAGGTTTCGATGTGTGCGTTCTGCGATAATGTTGCAGTTTTTGCAGCGCACTATGACGTAAGGAAGCGCATATAGCGTTCTCTACGGATTAGGTAGTTCAGATACGCTTTTTTTGCAAACAGGACACGTCGTAATGGGGAATCCCAGCGGGGAGAGGGTCATCTTTGCTCGTCATTGGGAAAGCAGAGTCGTATTTACGCCTTTGGGAGAAAGTTCCTGAGATGGCGAGGAATTTTTTTCTGGTTGATGACATTCCGCTGTTTTCCACGCTTCAGATGTACTCTCCCCTCAACGGCAAAATATTGGGCGAAAAAGTGGAATTATCGAAAAAAGTAGTGGGAAGGATGGTGATTAGTATGTTGAAGGGCTTCGTACCAGAGAAGGAATTTGGTTGGCGGCGGAGGGGGGGGGGGAAGCAAGGGAGTCGTATTCGTTGAACATTTTCCCAGCAGCAGGAGGTGCCCTCTGGGTTCAGTTCGGCGGCGGATGGAGGGGGGAGGTGGCATGCTCGTCGAGACATCATGCTAAAACTTGTCAATTCTTGTAAGCTCATGAAATAGCTCTCTAAATGAATCGAAACGTGGACCACTCTCCGTCGCCGAACTGTGCCCCTTTTTTTGCAAAGCATATGAGATGGCGCTACTTCACAAAGCTTGCCCGTTGTATACCAAATGGCGCTTGGCGACGCAGCGCCGTAAGGTCCGAAATTACGATTTCACCCGTCTTTCACATCCAATTATTCGATTTGGTGCTGCTTTTTCAAACACCACACGTTACTAGTGACTCATCTTCTCATATGATAAGATTAGTAGCTGCGCCGTACCACAAGCGTCACAATTACTGTAGGTTTTGCCGATCCAGGAAAAAGTTTCGGGCGCCTGTTGACCTCGATGAAGAAAGAGCGCGCTCGAGCGGCGCCACCGCTCACATACCCACTTATACACACATCGGCCACAGACACATATGCGCTCCAGAGCCAGCCAGCGCGGCATACGGTATTAACGTCAATGTGTGCGCGAATGTGTAAGTAGTTGTTCGTTACACTATGGCGGCGGCCAGCGGACGGACTATTGAATAGAAGGAAGCTGCGTTGAATGGAACTCACCAATGGGTCCTAAAGGAAGATGCTGAGCCAGGGCCAGGCGAATATGAGGGGTTTAACGTGGGAACACCTGAAAATTTCATGTTATTCGTTCAAAATGTTTACAATCAGGGGCGTGGAAGTGAGCGCTAAAGCGCCAGCGACGAACACTGCGGCTCAGACAAAGAAACGCTCAACGACCAGCTGCTTGGAATTGACACGTCACATGCAAATGAACGTTCGGTTTGAAACGAGTAGGAATTAGTGACAATTAGCACACAGAAACATAATGGTTCTGAAAAATATCGATCGATATCACAACAAAGCAATCGATAGCTGAAGAAGAAGCTCAACGAAGCGCAGCTAACGTGCCGACACCCCACAACATTTCCACACGATGCTGATCGATCGACTGGCCTGTCTATCAGAAAATTTCAGCGAAACGTCCCAAATGGGAAAACCTAGATGAAGGATACGGTAGCACGAATCGATACATTCTAGGGCCAAGCAGAGCGCGGTCGTCGAGCAGCGAAGAACGTAATCAGCCGAAGCAGTGATAGAGCCACAGGGGGCGGAACCAGCTGGTGGGTCCGCCCACATCAATGCATGCTATTGGACGGATAAATGATGATACTGAATGAGGAGGATTTCCACGAAATTTAGTGAAAAACTATGAAAAATGTGATTATAAGAAGTAGTGATGGAACTGATAGTGATGAGGATGGCGATTAAGGCCAATGGAGAGCGCAACCGACATGGCCAGCGATGTCGAACCGACCGAGCCAGGCCGCCACAGTATGTGTTACGCGCCGCGACCGCACGCTGCATGTCACCACAATCGTGCCCCCTCCATCGTCAGCGCGCTGTCTTGTCGCTCTGGCAATCTGACACTCTGCGGAAACCAATCAACAACCTCCCGTTGGCCACGCCCACTACCAAACGTCCTCGTCCTACGGTAGCCGGGCGGCGCATTTCCTCGTCGTCCTGCGCACTCCAGCGATAAGTGTTCACTCGTCTGACGACGATTCACCACCCGCCATCGCCCGACGACCAACCGACCACACCATCACCCACGGCTCGGGGGAATTTCCCGTGCCAATCAATCAGCATTCTTTTCAGCCCTACTCCCGTCAGAGGCATTCATACAATCCAAATTTGCACCCCGCGGCGTGCATAGCGCTCGACTCGCATAATTGCGTAGAACCTCAATTCATACTACGGTGGGGCATTGATCAGTGAATAAATGATGGCTCTATAGAAGGAATGAAAGATATGAAAGCGAGGAACGAGAGAGAGAATTAGCAGAAGAGACATTCAAACAGAGAGAAGCCCCGCGCCCGAGCCTCTGCAAATAAGATAACGATTCATGGCCGGCCGTGGCCGTCGTCATCGCCGCCACTGCACCCGACGCGGCCGTCGGGATTACGGTAACGGAACAGGTCGTACTATCGTAATGAGAGAGAGAGAATATAGGCGATGATCGAGTGGATGGCCCCGACGTGATGACGCCGAACGCGGAGACAGCGGTGGCGGCATCGTAAGGACAAGTAGACGATGGCGCGAGAGATTTGCAAAGAGGGATACGGTCAATTGACGTCTTCGAGCGCTCGGCTCGGCCCTGTCCATCTTTCTTTGTCACTTTCCGCTTCGCAATGCAAACATCAAGGGATGAGCTACGGCGGGATGGACCACGCCTGTTGGCGTTACATTTGGCCCGATGGCGCAACTTTTCGTCGACCAATCGAATCTGCCGCTGAAGCAGCTGCGTTTATTAAACGAGCCGCTGCTACACGGATGTACACAACACTCAATTTAGCGCATTCTAAGGACTCTTCGTGAGGTTTCCGGAAACACTGCACCCACCAGATAGCCGGCTAGGACATTGCCAATAATGCCAGGGGAAAATTTATGGAACATTCCCATACAGTTTTAAAGTGTTATTCATGCATTTCAGTACTCTATGGGTATGTAGACCATGTTCTGCAGGCTCATGCCGCGCTATCTAGGTCACTAGTTCAAGAATAGCCCTCGTCGAGGACGATGCAATTTCCCCCGTTCGTAGTGTATGGCGGGTCGCCCCCTAACATCGAGGCGGGTCGATAATAGCACACAGCTGAGAGTCACCCGGCGATGATAAGGGTTACACGGATGGGTGAAGAGTGCGAGTGAAACGCAAAGAAACGTGCAAACCTCAATGATTTCCTCAGAAATGCCTCCTCATGCTAGTAAGAGGGGACGAATCCCTCCTAGATGGAAACCAGGTTATCTTGGTATCATCAATTACAAAGAAGTAATCCACGTGTGATATTACGATGCAGTAATGACCAGAGATCGTTATCGGCAGATGGCGACGAGAGTGCGAACGAAAACCCAGCGACCATCGCAGAGACGCAGAGTGCGAAGGTCGCGCCGACCGCGGCGACCATCGCGCGCGGCGCCCCTCCGTCGCGCGACCGCAGTCGTCGCCGTCGTCGCGCCGGGCGCTGGTGGTGTCGACATCTGATTTTGGCGCAGTGATTCGGCCCTAGATTGCCCGGTGACGTACACACTTGCCATGGAACCACTCGAAGGAAATGTTTTCGCTGTTGAGGCTCTTCTTAAAGAGCGAAAACGCAAGGTTCGTGGTTTTCTCTTTCTATTTAGCATTCTCGTTTTCCATACTTGTGATTTGGCTAAATATCGATCGGGAATTGCTTTGCTTCGCCTTGTTTTGTCGACCTTCTCGTTTTGAAATGAACATTACACCTTTACTCAATCAATAATACTCCTCTTTGCTCAGCCTAGCAGAGGTTATTTCTAATATTATTTTTCTACAATTTTATTTTCTGAAGATGACAGATTCCTCTTTCATTTTCTTCATAGAAGTCTATATTTA